ACTCAGGTCCTCCTGACTCCAGGGCCATCCACTCTGACGCCTAACTGCCCTGCTCCCTTCTTTTTAAAATTGAGAAGCTGTTTGTTTTTCTCCAATCCTCTTGATCTTCACATATTCTCTGATCATTCGAATATCCCAGACTGTGGCTCAGCAATGGCATCTACCAATTCTTTCACTAGGGGATGAATATATCAGTCAGGTGATTTGCATTCAGAAAGTGCCATTAGGGACTTTCTTACTCTCTCCTTATTATCTCAGGTATTAACATCCTTTAGCCATCCTTGTTTTGTCTTTTCCAGTCCAAAGGTCATTCTTCTTAGCAGAAAAAAATGAGCAAAAAATGAATAGAATACCTTCTCAAAAAAAAGAAAAAAAAATAATACCTTCTCTCAGTTGCCAATTGTCTTTGTTCCTTCCATGTACAGCATTGGCCTGATTTATCCCTCCTTCAATCTTCCTCTTTTCCCCAACATAGCTTAAATACCCAGTCTTCTCTTTCATCTTTAATTTCTTCCCTGGCCTCAGCTCATTTTCTTGCTGTTACTCTTCCAGAATTGAGCCATACTGTTGTATCCACCCTCCATTTCTTTCCCTTGTTGCCATCTTCAGCATATAACTTTAAAAATCTATATTGAAAAGCTCTCCATATATCCAAACTGGCCTTTTAAAACAATTTCTATTTTTCCACCTCATTGGAATTGTTTCCTTTTGATTCTTCACAATTGTCTAGAGACAGATAGGTATCGAAGTGAATAGAGTTCTGGCCCTAGACTCAGAAACACTTACTAGTTTACACACTTACTAGGTGTGTGACCCTAAACAAGTCATTTAACCTCTTTCCACCTCAGTTTCCTCAACTGTAAGATGGAGATAATGCTAGCACCTACCTCCCAGGGTTGTGGAGAGAATCAAATGACATAATATTTGTACAGTGCTTAATGCAGTGCTTGGCACATAATAGGTGCTTAATAAATGTTTGCTCCCTTCTCCCTCCCTCTTCAGAATTTTATTCTAGAGAGTTACTCATTCCTCCTCAGCTGATTTCCCTAGTAAAATTTTAGTCCATGACATCATACATATTACTTTCCCTTGAAGCCTTGGAAATTTACTTTCATCAAATCAAGGCTGAATGTCAAACTATGCTCAGTTTACTTATTTCTATTAAAAATTTTAAGACGTAGCACTTATATTCCCTTCAAAGTTCCTATCATTTCCACTGTCAGCAACCTATTCATCCCTGTTAGTGAAAATCACATCCACAATTAAATTTCCCCTTGTTGGCTTCCTGATTTTTTGTAATTAGTTTTTTTCCTATGATCAAGTATTTATTTATTTTTTCTCTTTAGCCTCCCTCTTGGGGGAAAAACACAAACATGGCTGTAGTAACACATATTCACAATCACATCAAACAAATTCCATTATTGGCCATGTCCAAAACCGTATCCCATTCTGCATATTTAGTCCATCACTTCTTGGTCAGAAGTTGGTTAGAATTATTTATCATTAGTCCTCTAGAATCATGGCTGACCACTGTGTCCATCAGAGTTATTGTCTTTAAGTCCCTCAAAAATTGTTCATTTTTACCATTTTATTTGTTACAATATAAATTGTTCTGCTCACTTCACTCCAACCCCATTCAAGCAAACTTTTCCATTTCTTTTTTTTTTTTTTTTTTGGTTAGGCACTGGGGTTAAGTGACTTGCCCAGGGTCACACAGCTAGTAAGTGTCATGTTTCTGAGGCCAGATTTGAACTCAGGTCCTCCTGAATCCAGGGCCAGTGCTCTATCCACTTCGCCACCTAGCTGCCCCAAACTTTTCCATTTCTTACAGCCCCATAGTATTCCATTACATTTATACACCATGATTTGTTTAGCCATCCCCCAATTCATAGGCATTTACCTTAGTTTCCAGTTCTTTGCTTCCTGCACCTTTTAAAGGATGATTTTCACTGAAGAGAAAACTGAAGCCCAGAAAGGATAAGTAACATGACCAAATTCACACAGTAACTGGCAGAATGGAGCTTCTAATGACAGCCATTTGGCTCCCCTTTCCATCAGACAGTTAACAATGGCAGAGCAGAACTTCACAGAAGAGGTGTTGAACAAACAGAGGCAGCTCAGGAAAGGAGGATCAGCTGTGTGACCTTAGGCTAGTCTCTTTCCCTCTCTGGCTTCAGTTTCCCTCTTTATAAAATAGATAGATGATCGATGGATGGATATAGGTAGATGGATAGATAAATAGATGGATGGATAGCTGGATGGATGGATAGAGCATGTATTAAGTTCTTACTATGTACCAGGCACTGGGCTAAGTAGTAAGCATACAAATATAAGTAAACAAGATAGTCCCTACCCTCAAGAAGCTTATGTTCTAATAGAGGGAAGAGAATACATAAAGGGGATCTGGAAAGGGAATAGGAGAAGAGGGTACCCTACTGGAGGCAAGACAACTGTTGCAGAAAGGGAGATGTTTGGAGAGTTGAGCTGGGAGTAAAATGAGCATGCCTGGGGCCCTTCATGAAGTGGTAGTCTGAGCTAGGGACTCACTGGTCAGGGGGTTAAACCCTTCCAGATCTGATATCATTCTCTGTTTTAAGACCCATTCCAGTCCCATGATTCCCTAGGTGGCTTGGGCTTTTGGTAGGCAGAGAAAATAAGAAAGGCATTGCTTGGCAAAGGAAGTCAGGTGTCAGCCAGGCAGGAGCAGGACAATGTAGATAGAGAGCCATGATGAAGACCTGGGAAGCTCCATCCAACTTGCCCCGCAATGCAAAGCTCAAAACCTTCCAGAAGGGGTGGGCTGGTAACCAGTCAATGTCCCTTCCCACTTGCCTATTCCTAGTTCCTTCTCTGCCCTCCAGAGCCACCAAAGAACCTGGAGCTGAATCTGGAGCCTTCTCAGGAGCAGTCTTCTCTCCCCTGGATCCCTGTGGGCCAGAACATCACTTTAAGCTGCCATGTGGCAGGTGGGAGACCTCGGGAGAATCTAATGGTGGTGCTGCTTCGGGGAACCCAGGAGATGAGCAGACAGCCTGTCCCAAAGAATACCCTTGACACCGTTTTTGTCAAATTCTGGGTCACAGCCAGTAGGGAGGATGATGAGGCCAGCTTCTCCTGCCGTGCTGAGCTGAACCTTCAGCCAAGGGGACTAATGCGTTACCAGAACAGCTCAGCGCCCCTGAAGTTCTACACCTTCGGTGAGGGGCTGAGGGGGGAGGTTGAAGTGCAGACTTGGGGACCGGATAGGGCAGAAGTTCCCAAACTTATTTGGCCTACTGCCCCATTTTTTAAAATTACTCATTCCCCCCCCCCCCAAAATCTACTTTCTTTAATCCTTTAATAGTTTTTTTATTTGCATCATTTAAAAAAAATTCTATTTTTTTTAAATGATGCCTCTTAAATTTAATAATTTATTGTAAATTTGTAGGAGTTTTTCCTGCATTGAAATTTTGGTGACACAACATTATGTCATGTAACCATATCATATTGTAAACAAGTCATTACGCGCACATATTCCTGCCGTTGTATGCTGAGTTCCTGACAATTCACAACACATTCACCTGGCAACACTTACTTGTCAAGCTCTGTCGGCGGACTTGACTATTGATCTGTTATAACTTGTATTTTGTGTGTTTATTTGGAAAATAACATAATCACTATGACTTTCACTCTGTTACACAACAGATGAAACATGTACGAACAGTTTTTCAGAATTCTCTTCTCTTCTTTCCTTATGCTTCCACCACCCCTTTATTTTTATTCAACATCCCCCCAATTACACCCCAGGCTACTACCATCCCCCTGGATCATTCCAGTGCCCCCCAGGGGGTGGTATTGCCCACTTTGGGAACCTCTGGGGGTAGGGAGAGAAGCAATAAAGGCCCTGGGAGGATTATGGCCACATTGATGATAACTCCTTTCCTCAGTCACTGGTTTCCATCTCTTCTCTCTCACTTTTCCTCCTTTCCTCCAAGCCTTGGCACAAGAGCCCCCAGTGCTTGTGATCCCCAAGCTCCTGGAGGCTGGGACCAAAGAGCAGGTGAGCTGTGAGATGGACGAGCTGTTTCCAGTGGAGAAAGCCAACATACAACTGTCCTGGGGAGGGCAGAGGCTGATTCAAAACATTACCCGACATGGAGACATGCTGAGGGCCACAGCCACAGTCATGGCGGCAAAAGAGGAGAAAGGTGATAGAGAGCTGACCTGCAATGTGAGACTGGGAAATGAAACCAAGAATGTATCAGAAGACCTGACAATCTATAGTAAGGATGGAAAGGCATCAGGCTGGGGTGGCCTGGTTTGGGGGGAAGGGGGCAGGGGGAAATGAAAGGATTAGTGGAGGCAAGGATCACAACTCAGGTTCCTCTCCTGTAGCCTTCCCAGAACCTCGTCTTGTGGTCAGTGAACCCGTCCAGGAGGGATATCGAGTAAATTTGACCTGCAAGGCAGACCTGACAGCCACGGTAATGATTGAGGGAGCCACAGGTGATGAACCTGACAGAATGTCCCTGATAGTCCAGGAGAAGGACAACGGGCGATTGTTCACCTGCCAGGCCACCCTGAAATTGCGGGGAGAGACGCTGCATAAAAACAGCAGCCTGAATCTAAATGTCTTATGTAAGTGAAGACCCCTAAACCTCTGACCCCTTACCTTTTTGCTGCCAAGGCACTGACTTTTCACTCCCTCCTCTGGCTGGAACTCGGTATATTTTGGGGGAGGAGGGGAGGAGACACAGCTGGTACTCAGTACTAACCACCCTGTTATCTACAGTCCCCCCAAAGCTGGATGAGAAATGCCCAGGAAACTGGACCTGGAATGAAGGAACTGAGCAGACCCTACAGTGCATAGCTAGAGGAAATCCAGACCCCATCGTGAAGTGTGTCCCAGAAAACCAACAGACAGGGATGCCATTGGGGATACCGAAAACTGTCACCCGGGCCTACAGTGGCACTTACCGCTGCACTGCTAACAACTCCCTGGGAGAAGCAAACAAAGTCGTGTCCGTGGTTGTGATGTGTGAGTGACCAAGGAGTTGACCAGTGAGGGTGGGGAGGATGGCTCCCTTACTCAGAGGGGCTGGGAACAGAATAAATTTCATCTCTTGGAAGGCAGGAAAGCTTTTTTTTTCTTTTTATCCCATTGATGAGCACACGGCCCTGTAGTAACTGGATAAATTATTTCAATGGAATGGATAAATGGGGCACAACATTTTAGGAGGGGCATAGATACAGTAGAGAAACCCAGGCACAGACCAAGATAGGGAGGACAGTGAAGGCTCTGCAGCTGGGGGAAATTGTCTGAAGAAACTGGGGATAGTCAGCCTGGAGAAAAGAAGCCTTAGGGATGGAAAGACTGGAAAACTTTAACTATTCTATTATCTGAAGGGCTGAAGGGTTAAAGGATTGCTTGTTCTACTAGAGCCAGAGGCCAGAATGAGGAGAGGGGTGTGGAGAAAGCTACAGTGAGGAAGATTTAATCTCAATGTCTGGAGGAAAAAAAAGACCTTCCTAAAAATAGAACGGGCTGCCTCAGGGGTGAATTCTTGTTCACCTTCACTTGAGGTGTTTTAGCCTAAAGAATTGGTGCCCCCTGGTCATGGAAGCTTTAATAAGGGTACTTCCCCTCAGAGGGACTTTGATAGGATTTGCCCTGAAGTCCTGTCCATTTTCGGGGTGTTGGGCAAGACAGGCCCATGTAATACTCATTGAGCCATTCTTCCAGTCCAGGATGTGGACCTGAGGCCAATTCTCGTCGGCATACTGATCAGCATGGTGGCTGTCGGTATTGTGATCTCCGGGGGATATCTTTATTACCGGCAGCAGCGGATTAGAAGTTACGAGCTGAAGAAGGCACAGGAGGCTAGAGCCTTGCAGCCTATCAAGGCAGAGGCCAAACCATGCCCCTAGATGGGGTCCCACCTTTCCCTGAACAAGCACTTTATTTTGGAGAGTTGAAGGGCTGGCTAACCACCTTGTTGAAGAAACTAGGATGTGACCAAAGCCTGAAGCCATGGCCAGGAAGTTGCCCGACACTCTTCCTGGATCTCAGGACAGCATGTGAGGTCTTGCTTGATCTCTGGGCCTAAGGTAGCCTGAAGCCCCTTTGGAGCCACATAACAGGCTGGGCTGGGCTGGGCATGTCTGGGTGATGGGAATGGGACTCAGGAACCTAGGGATAGGAGTTGTGGGGCTGATAAGAATGTGACTGACTACTGATCACCTGTGTCTGAGAATGGACTCAGGGATGTACCCGACAACATTGACATGGGAGCAGAAGAAGGCTCATGTGGAGCCTTGGGCCAGCACAGAAGGAAACACTAGCTGAGGACTGACTGACTGACTGACTGACTGACTGACTGCCTCAACACCTTGGACCTGGAGAGAGAGGGGAGACGCTGGGTGATAGAGAGGGGTGTCCCAGCCCATAGCTTGTCCTCTTCTCTACTCCTTCCAATAAAACTTGACCAATGTCTCTGACTCTGCTTCTGGGGCAACAAATTGTCTCAAGTCACTACCCTCCTGATCCCCAGGCCCTTTCACCTAACCTTGGACCTGGTGGAAACCTAAAGCATTGGGTGTGGAATGGGTGTCACTGATTGTAAAACAAGGCCAGCAGATATAGACAGTGCCTACTCATACATGCACAGGCCTTGAAACACACACACACACACACACACACACACACACACACACACACACACACACGCCCCAGTGAGGGGAAATCCCAGTTTCCAAAGGTAGTCTACTCCACTATGGGATAGCTCTCCTTAAGTACTTCTTTCTGACATTGAGCTCATCAGCCTTTCTCTGATTTTTATTATTTCTCCTTGTTCTACCCTCTGGGACAAGCAGAACATTCCTGATCACTTGATACTCTTTAATTAATTGAAATCACCTATTAGTCCCCCTCCCCCACCTTCTCTTCTTCAAATTGAACATTCCCAGTTCTTAAAAACCAATTCTTGCTAGGCATGGTGTCCCATGCCCGTAATCCCTGCCACTAGAAGAGGATGGGGCTGGTGGAGTTTTGAACTGCAGCAGGTCTAAAATAAATAAATGAATGAAGTCCAGCACCCTCAATGGTAATCCTGAGAGTAGAGGCCCACCAAGAAGAGTGAACTTCCCCAGGTTGGAAATAGAATAGGTTGATGTTTCCATGCAGGGCCATGAGTGGCTACTGCATTTCTAGGCCAGGGGAAATTGGGAGACCCTGTCTCAAAAACAAACAAAAAAGCCACATGGCTGGTTTGCAAATGTGTTTCCTATAATGAAGAGCCCAGAAATGAACACGATGCTGTACACATAGCCTGATATGTCAAAGGACAACATGAGTCTCACCCCCGAGTTGAGTCCAAGACTTTCAGTGTTATCTTATTAGATTTTGCTGGGATGTTCTAACCTGTCAAGACCTTTTTTGGAATCTTCTTTCATCCAGTGTCTCAGCTATTACTGTAGCTGTTTCTTGTGCAAAAGTGATGAGCAGGCTTAAACTTAAATAAAAGCCTTTATCCAAGTCACAGATAAAAATGCTAAATAGCACCGGCCAGTCCAAATGCAGAACCCTGAGGTTCTTTGCTAAAGAACACTTCTGAATAGGCATGAAGCCATTAATCACTGACTTCTGGGTCAGGCCATTCAGCTAGCTCTAAATCCACTTAATTTTAAGACTACTCAACTCTACATTTCCAAACTGTGTGGCTTAGTGCTGGAGTAAACTCACAAGTATAGTATATTTAAAATTTTTGACTTTAATAAATAGAACTGTTAATTTCGGGGGGGGGGTTGCCTAGGGGTGCTATAGAAAAGTTCCTGGGCCAGCTAGGTGGTGAAGTAGATAGAACACGGGCCCTCGATTCAGGTGGACCTGAGTTCAAATCCAGTTTCAGACACATAACACTTACTAGCTGTGTGACCCTCGGCAAGTCACTTAACCCCATTGCCTAGCCAAAAAAAGGAAAAAGAAAAATTCCTGAGACACTAAGAGTGGGTGCAGTGAACTGAGAAAGCCTGAGAACCTCCAGCCTAGCCTAAATCTCTCTTTTTTTTTCATCCACGAAAATATCATGACTTTGTCAAAATGCTCTGCTAAAACTGTATGTCTACAGTAGCCCTCTGATAATTCCACTGATCTAGTAACCTGGCTGAAAAAGGTGATGAAGTTAGTTGGACATGACCTCTTCTTCCTCTGACACTCCATTCTGATCTCTCACCTGATGGCACATGAAATACCTATCATGTCCCTCGGAGGACAAGTGACTGCTTCCTGGCCCCATTTTGGGAAGAATGCCATATCTATGACTTACCTCCAATATATTCAGTGGTCCTTTCCTCTCTTCTTTGCTGCTTCAATTTCCTGAATTCTACCTCTTCTGGTCCTTCCTCTTCTTGGTTTTCATACTGACACCTTTTTTTTTTAAGCAAATATTTAATTTTATTTTATTATAACTTGGAGAGAGGTGAGGCATTCCTCAAGCCTCTTTACTATCTCCTCTTTTAAAAGGAAGACCAGCTTTCACTCCAGCACACATTCAAACGTTCACACACACACACACAACACACACACACACACACACACACACACACACATACCTCCACCACCACCGCCTCCCTACCTTCTGTCACATTTCCACAGATCCACTTACATACTTGCCTCCACATAGAACTCCAGGGACTCTACTCTGGTTCATCTGGCTCAATAGCCAGGGAAAGGGGTTGGAGGAAGGCTATATCTAGATGCACCCCCTTCAGACAAACTCTGTCAGGGGGTGGGGGAGAGGGTGACTCTGATCCCTCCTCTTGGCCCCTAACATAGAGGCCCTCCAAGGGACAGGGTGGGGCATCTATGACCTTATCTCTGTGCCTTGGGAGAGGCCCCTCAGTTCTAGGATACTTGCCATGAGGGCATCCTCTTCTCTTGCCTTACTAATCCTGCTGCTGCTGGTAGCCACTGGTGGTGGCCAAGGTGAGAAATGGAAGGGGTGGTCAGTGGTGCCTGGATAGGACATGGTGGGACCAGAAGGCCAGGAACCAGAGTCTGAGCTAGAGCTTTAGCAGACACCTTCTGTGCATACTTCTCCAGCAGTCCTCTAGGCACAGAAGCTGGGGTGGAAAGATGGGAGATTGTACTAGGAGCCTTCACTCTCTAACTTCTTTCCCAGAGCTCCTGGAAAAAAATGGCTTGGGCTGGCTGTTGTGGGGAGAGAATGTGTGTGTAAGGTGAGGTGGGGATGAGAGCCTGGTAGCCCTCATCACCAAACTCCACCTCTGTATTTATCTCTTCTTCTCACCTCCCACTGGAGGTGTTCTGTTCCTCTTTGTATATCTGGCCTGGTGGGGATAAGGCTAGGGGTATTCTAAGGGTCTGTTCCTCCTTCTGCCTACCCTCACTTCTTAAAGGACTTCCTTCAGTGCCTTCTTTGCTAGGGACCCCAGAGCATTTCTGAGTTCCTATCTGGCCTTATCAAATGCCAAGGTTAGTTTGGAATGATGGGAATAAGGGAGAGAAAGTTCAGGAACAAGGGATCTCAGAAAGCTGACCCTCTTCATCACTCCCTCCACAGAGGTCCATGGGCCTTTCTGGGTTCGAGTCTTGCCACGAGAGGTGAGCATACCTCTTGGCAGCTCTGTTTGGATCAACTGCAGCACAAGCTGTATCCAGCCTGAAGCCTCGGGTTGATCACTTCACTGACTCAGGGCAAAAAAGTGACAGGACCAGGATGGGCTGCTTTCCAGGTACTGGATGTGAGGGCCTGGGATTCAGCAGCCCGATGCTTCTTTACCTGTGCTGGAGAAACCCAGGAGGCCACTGCCACAATCAAGGCCTACAGTGAGTGGAAGGGGTGAATCTTCATTTTGATTCAGGGCCCTGGATCTCAGAGAGACAGGGACAAATGAGAGGAATTGGGGACTCTAGGCTTGGGACCCTGGAGCACCCTAGGTGGTCATGGGCTGTGACTGGCTAGGCCCAAGGGAGGTCTAGGGCTCCAGGGGTTGGAGATGAGGCGGGTGACCTCCATCCTCCCTCTCCCTTCTCCCAGGCCCCCCACAGACTGTGGTCTTGGAACAGCCACCCCTCATAGATGTGGGCACTGAATACAAGTTTCACTGTCACGCGTCCTTTGTCTTCCCTCTGGAGAAGCTAACTATGATGCTGAGCCTCGAAGGCAGAGACCTGTGTTCTGTTAGCTTAGCTAGGTCAGGCTACCTCCTTGAGTCAGCCAATGTGACCTGGACCTCCAAGCTCCAGCCACGCCTCCAAGACATGGGGCAGCTCCTGTCCTGCCGCGCAGTGCTTAACCTTGATGGCTTCCTGGTCATTCGAAGCTCCAAACCAGTGAGGCTACACTTCCGAGGTGAGGGCCACACAGGCAGAAGCGGGAAACATTGGGGTGATTTCTTATCTAGGGGAGTCCTGATTGTTGGGATTATGGAGGAGACTCGTTTCCCACTGCCCCCATCAATGTGGGGAAGGGGGAGGCCAGGTGGAAAAGGACAGGAAGGTACTGGAGAGGAAAATGAGACCTTGGGAAAGAGAAGGAGGCTTCAGGGACTCAGAAGAGCCTGAAAGGGCAGAGGTGAGTAACCCCTGACCTCATCTCTCTGCCCTTCCTCCCTTTTTTCTGCAGAGAACCCGATGTCTCAGGTGGTAGCCTGGGTTGCTTTAGCAGCCCTGGCTGGGCTCCTGCTCCTTATTTTAGGTGTGTTCCTCTTGCAGTCTAGGGGGCAGCTGCAGTCAGAAGCCTTGTCCCCCTCTGGTGGAACTTCGGAAGAGAAGGTGTGAGGGACATTAGTGTGTCCGACAGCAAGAAGTGGCTGGACCAACCAAGGCAGGAAGCCAAGCCCCTCATAGTGCCTTCGACCCTACTGGCCTCCTAACAAGCTGAGAAGGATGCCCCTCCTTCCACCCTCCTCCCCTCCCCTCAAGCTAGCAACCAGTACTAGCTTAAGTTTAGGGAAACAGAGCGACTCTTCAGGGCTCCAAACTCCAGCCTAGGAACAGTCCTGGGCTCCACGCTTTGGGGCACTTCAAGCAGCAAGGAATTCGGCTGACAAACCTGGCAGAGAGGAAAGACTACTATCGGAGTCTGAGGACACGGGTCCAAATCTACTTGCTAGCTGGGTGACCTTGGGAAAATTACTGAGCCTTAGTTTTTCCTCCTAAAAAATGAGAATAATCCCTACCTCACAGGGTTATTGTGAGTAAAGTTCGTCTTAAACCTTAAAGACTATAGGAATGATTGAGATGTCACCTCGCCTCCTTTCTCCGCCCTTTTCCCCCCTACCCTAACGCACTGGCGGAGTCCCAGACCACAGTCCGCTGCCTTATGCGTCACCCCCACACCTTTCACAAGGCAGACTCTAGACCAACAGCTTCCGGTCCCCGTTTAGACCAGAAGTCCCAGGGGTCTGAATAAGCCCAGTTCTGCCTCAAGAGCCCCAATCACCCCAGGTTGGGAATGGGAAGACTGGAGTGGGGGGGCCAAGACAGTACTTCAATTCTTGCGCCTAGAAGCGCCAGAGCGGGAGGGCCCTCAAGAAGAGAACCCCAGACGGGTGCCACTGTGGCTTCTCCCCACCTGGCCCCCACAGCTGGGCAATTCTCTTCCCCCTCCCCCATCCCCCACAGCCGGCGCCTTATCGAAGCGAAGCAGTAGAAGCAGCAGGCGGGGAAGGCGGAGTCCAGTGGGGAGGGACTGAGGCCACATGGGGGGCTAGCGGTTCAGTGGGCCTTCGGCTTACCAACCAGACCCTGGGACCCAATTGGCTCCGCTCCCGCGGGCGGGGTAGCCCTGATTGGTCCGTTTACCAACCCACAAGCCCTATGGTTTGCGCGGAGGGGCTAGGTGAGGACAGAGCAGAGTGCTGCGCCTAGCTAGAGCCCAGGTAGGTCCACAACGCGTTGGTTCCCTAGTGTACAGAGCTCAGGGTTCTGCTCAGGAAGACCAATTTTCGGCTCTCGAACACAAGAAGGCCTACACAGAGACACCTGTCCCCCTCACACGTAGTAGATACGGACGCTGTAACGAAAAGCCCCTAATTTAGATTCCCACTGACATGATGCGCACTGTACACATGCGCTCGTGCACACTCCGGTACACACACGCACACGCGCGCGCGCGCGCGCGCACACACACACACACACACACACACACACACACACACGGCTGTCTCCAGAGGCAACTGGGCTCTGTCTCCCACCCTCCTCTTCGTGCTTTCGAGCGCGGGGGCGCTGAGAACAACGGTCCTTGACTCTCCTAAGGGAGTATGATCGTGAGAAGCCACTCTTCGGTGAAGGGTGGAGCTGGGAAATGGGAAGGGAAGCGCACCCGACATCTGGGATCCCAAAGACAGGAGAGAGTAGGCTCACCAAGAAATTCTGCTCCCTAGACTTCTCCTGACCTCCTCCCCCACCGCCCTCACCCCGCACCCCCACCGCCCTGCCTCAGCATTGGAGAAGTTGTCGTCTGCAACGGGCCTGCCGAGGTTCCTAGGTTCGAACCTCTCCAGGTCTGTCCCCAATGGATCGTTCGCACAGCTCTGCTCCCCCCCCTCGTAGTGCAGCCGTGGCCTGGATGGAGGCGGGGCTTCATAAAGACTTCTTGTGCCTTAACAGCTGGGGAAGGGAATCTGAGGTTAACACCACTTTCGTCTATGCGTTCCCCAGTCGAGTCTAGTTTCCAGAACTAAAGCTCTGGTGGAATCCAAGCCACGTCCTTTCTTCTACCGAGCCCTGGGAGATTATAGTAGTCTCCTCCCCGCGGGCGGGACTGAGCTGACGCGTGTAGGTTCCAGAAACGCTCAGCTGAGGCGTCGCAGTTCACACCTACTTCCCGCCCCCATGCGCCTGGACTTAGAGGCCCAGTGGCTGTTCTGGTGCTGTGTCGACTAGGCTCCGAGCTAGTGAGGATTGGTGGGGGTGGGTGGGAGGAACGAGAAAATCAGCCCTAATCTCCAACCGCACAGGGCTGCTGAAAAGGTTCCCGTGGCTCAATTTAATTCAATTCAACAAGCATTTATTACGCACCTACTATGTGCAAGACTGTGGTAAGCGCTGGTGATATGATAACCCTGAGCCAAGGATGCTCCAGTTGCCTAGGGGTCTCTCGTTTCTTGTTTCTTTATGCTTCTAAACCTCGATCCTGCTCTCTTGCTCCTCTCCTCTCCTCTCTCCTCTTCTTTCCTCTCCATCTCCTCTCCTTTCAGCCGCCTCTGCCTCTGCCTCCTCCTCCTCCTTGGATACCAAGTTACCAACGTTAAACCAATCCCCAAGCGCAACTTGGCCTCCTCCACACCCTGCCCCGCCCCGCCGCGCCGAACCGAGCCAAGGCGTCCTCTCCGTTTCTCCCTCTCGTCCTCTTCCTCATCCCCTCTATCTCCGCTTCTCTGCGCTCCGGCTCCGCCGGCAATGACCTTCTCCCAGCTGCTGCTGCTCCGGGCACTGCTCGCCCTTGTGGGGTCCCTCTGCCTAGGGCTGCTCGCTCTCTCAGGTAAGAGTCACCCTTATCCCACGCCTGCAACACCTGGACATGGGATAGGGATCCCCGACTTGGAGAAGCAGCTGATTCCCCGTGGAGTACTAGCCTGCTATACGTCTCAGTGTCACCCTTACAACCTCAGCCAGCAGGAAAGAAGCGAATGATAGCCCACTCAGTTTAGGCCCCCAAACCCTCTCCATCCCCCACCCCGGGGCCGTGCGCGCTCCCGCCCGCCCCCGCGACACGCGGCTTAGAGGCCAAGAATCTCCGACGTTCCCTTCATTTTTACCAAGTCCCGAAGCTCCTGACACTACTGAAGGACCACTTCCAGGGGTCTCAGAAGGCATAGGAATATCAGTAATCCTGGGCCTGGGGTTCTGTTCGGTCCCTGGGAGACTGCGCGTCCCCACTGGCGAATGATTAGAATTGGGGGAGAGGAATTCCTGGGATCACTGAGGAGGGAAAGGGATCGCTGACTTGGTTGGCTTTTAGAAAGCCAGCCTCCTCTGGTCCCGGACCGGTACATCCCGGAGGGTAACCTGGTCTCCTCGTAGGGGCGGCGCAGGAGCCGTACTGGGCAGACCTGCAGCCCAGGTCGGCACTAGTGGAGCGAGGGGGCTCGCTGTGGCTGAACTGTAGCACCAACTGTCCGCGACCTGAGCTGGGAGGGCTGGAGACCTCGCTTAGAAGGAACGGAACGCAGAGGGGTCTGCGCTGGCTTGCCCGCCAGCTAGTGGATATCCGTGAGCCTGAAGCCCATCCTATCTGCTTCTTCCGCTGCGCCCGCCGGACTCTTCAGGCGCGTGGGACGATCCTCACCTACCGTGAGTGACGGTGGAAGGGGTGAAGGGGACCCTCTGCAATCCCCTCCCCAATTCGCTCCCCGTCGATTCCACCCTCCTCTCCATTTTCCCCGCACCCATCTTCACTTCGGCGTAACTCTCCACACCTTAGCCCCCTTTCTTGTCGGGCGTTCCCCATCCTCCCTATTCCTCTCTATCTCCCGTGTTCTCATGCCCTTCTCCATTCCCACTCTGCATCCTTCTCCTTCTTCCAACCCTTCGCCAGGCTCTTTTTGCGCCTTTCTCCTCTCCATCACACATCTCTTTCGATTCCCTCTCCCCCTCCATTCCCACTCCTTACGCCCCTGTGCCCACAGAACGACCAGACCGAGTGGAATTGGAGCCCCTACCTGCCTGGTTACCTGTGGGTGAGAACTTCACTCTAAGCTGCAGGGTCCCAGGAGCTGGACCCCGGGGGAGCCTTTCTGTCACTCTGCTTCGGGGAGCCCAGGAACTGAGCAGGCGGAGGTTCCCGGGAGAATCGCCAAGGGCAAGGGGCGCTATGGCCACGTTCACGGCCACTGCCCGAAAGGAAGACCACAGAGCCAACTTCTCTTGCCTTGCTGAGCTGGATCTTAGGCCCCACGGACTGGGGCTCCTTCAGAACAGCTCCACCCCACAGGAGCTCCACACATTTGGTAAGTGGGAAGTTGTGGGAAAAGCTTCTGACCCCTGCCCTTGCACTCCTGCCAGGTAGGAATAAGGAGCTGCTGGCCCTAGGAAGGGCCTGGCAAGATTCCTGAGTCTTGATGATACTAAGTTTGTCTGTACTCACCCCCTGAAAAAATGCACCAACCTCTCCACCTGTCCAATCCCATTTTTCCCTTTGACCCTGGACCCCCAGCTCTGTCAAAAGAGCAGGGTCCACACACCTTCCTCTTCCACTAGCCTAGCTCTCCTCTATTTCTTCCTGTCCTCACAGCCTTGGCCCCAGGGCCCCCTAGCCTAGCATTCCCCAGGCTCCTGGAAGTCGGCTCGGAGCAGCTGGTGAGCTGTGAGATGGACAAGCTGTTCCCAGCTGAGGAAGCCCGGGTACAACTGGCTCTAGGGGGCCAGATGCTGAGCCCCCAGGTTGTCCTGGATGGGGACAAACTGAGGGCTGCTGCTACTCTCACTGTGAAAGAGGAAGAGGTTGAGGGCGAGGGCGAGCAGGAGCTAACCTGCACTGTGACCCTGGGGGGACAGGATCGAAAGGCCCAAGAAAACCTGACAGTCTATAGTAAGGAGGTGACGGGTGGGGCTGGCCCAGCTGGGTGGCTGAAGTGGGAAGCTGAGGAGGGAAGCTAGGAGCTTGGGCTCATGGGCTATGGCTCCCCTTCCTCCAGGCTTTCCTCAGCCCAACCTCAAGGTCAGTGAACCCAGTGTCAGGGAGGGGACCTTTGTGAACGTGACCTGTGAGGCACGTCCAGGTGCCCAGGTGCGGCTGGATGGGGCTCCTGAACCTCCCCCTGGGGAGCCAGCCTGGCTCACCCTGACTGCTAGTGAAGAAGACGATGAGCGGATGTTCACCTGTGAAGCTCTCCTGGAGGTGAAAGGAGAGATCCTTCGTAGGAACCAAAGCCTGGAGCTACAGGTTCTGTGTGAGTGCACCTATCCCCCCCCCCCCCCCCCCCCCCGTTCCCTGCCTCTGATGGTTTAGGGCAACCACCCATCAACAATCCTACAGGCTTTTACTAACATCCCAATCTGGCTCCTTCCTAATGTAATTGAATCAGCTCACCAGCTAGCAACCACAGCAACTCATAAGGCATTTTGAGCAGAAATGTACTTATTACAAAACAGACAAAGAGGAAGAAGGGTTTTGGACCTGGGCCCAAAAACAAGGGTCAAAGCTTCTCTAGGCAAGTTCTGTGA